TTGGGCTAGTCTCAAACTCTTCTGAGTCCTTTCTGATTTGACTGCTAATATAGTTGTACACACAATAGTACTTGCTTCTCCCACTTAATAAAAGAAAAGAATCTCAAGCCTGTTACGATGACTTGCTCCAGGACACCTCTCAAATGGAATCATTTACCCTTTAAAGCCTCCCAGCTTTTCCTGCCCCATGTATTTTCTCATTTAGGATGAAGCTTGGCTTGGGAAACTATGTTGATGTTCTGTATTCTGGTACGTTGTGAGTTTAGAGTTGTAGAGAGTAGTCATGACATCACTCCATTTAAGGTTTTGCCTTGTGCACCTCTGATGAATGTCAAAACTTTTTTAAGTTCCTGTGAATAACCTGAAAAGATAGCTCTATGGGCAGAGTACTTGCCTTGAAAGCATCAAAGACCTAATTCAGATCCTCAAAACTTACATAAAAGCTAGATCTGGCATGCCCTGAACTCTTCTTACCCAAGATGGTTGCAGATCCAGCAGGGCCACGGGGCCCTGCCTGCAGCTAGGACACCTAGCACACCTGTTCACTTACAAGCTCTGCACCGAGAACTGAGCTGTACTAGTCCTTGAGGGCGAGGGGGACAAGCTGGTGACCTCTGAGAAAGTACACACTCCATGTCCCATCACCCAGTGGAAGGGCCAGCTGTCACTGCACACGAGTAACCTGGATGGGGAAGACCATGCTGTAGTTCAAACAGTGGAGGATATTTTTCTTCACAAGTTCTTGCTGGGCACCTTTCTGGGTTGCTGGTTGACTAGATTGTCCTGAAGCACCAGGCCAACCAAATGGATATCTGTGCCCTGTTCCTGACACAGCTGTCAGCACACAAATTCTAAATATTTGTTGTAGCATGAATTGTTAGAAGGTCTTATTAATAAAATCAAACCTGGAGCCAAGTATTAGGGTAAATGCTGGAATATCAGAGAAACAGAACAAGCCACAGCTTCCTCACCTCACCAGTTCCTCAGCTGATCAGTCAGTTTCCTCAGACTGGAAGCCTCTGAGTCCTCATCCAAATAGATCTCAGCTGAACTGCTGCTCAAAAGCCTAAAAGCTTTACCAGGCTCTAGTTCCTGGTCCTCACGCCTTATGTACCTTTCTGCTTCCTGCCATCGCTTCCTGGGATTAAAGGCATGTGTCACCATGCCTGGCTGTTTCCAGTGTGACATTGAACTCACAGAGATCCGGATGGATCTCTGCCTCCATGATGCTCGCATTAAAGGTGTTTGTGCCACCATTTTCCGGCCTCTGTGTCTGTCTAGTGGCTGTTCTCATCTCTGACCCCAGATAAGTTTATTAGGATGCACAATATTTTGGGGAACACAGTATCACCACAGTTTGTGGACTACAGTGAGATTCTGCTGTCACACTTTTCTAAGGGTCCTGTGTAACTCTTGCATCAAGCTGTATCCTACAAAGGACCAAAGTATATGAGACGTGAAACAGAATGAGAGGAAAGCTGCCCTCGGAGAGTGAGCACATCAACTCCAGGCTGCTGTTGAATAAAGAGCCTGGTGGTGCCTTTAAAAAGCCAGATGCAGTAGTGCACACCTGTGGGAAGATGGGAGAGACAGACAGAAGAATTCTTTTTTTGTTGTTTTGTTTTTGTTTTGTTTTGAGAATTCTTGAGAGCTTATAGACCAACTGTTCACAGCCGTGAACAAGAGACCCTTCTCAAATAAGGTGGAGAACAAGGACTGATAACCAAATTCATCCATCCTCTGACCTCTACTGTCTGCTATGGCTTGCACTTAGGTGCCGTACCCCCTCAACACCCCCACCCCTAACACACACACAGTCCCTGTGAGGCCAACACAGAGCTTTGGCAAGAAGTTCTGAGTAGGACTGGAAAGATGTCTCAGTTGTTAAGAACACCTGAGTTTGGTCCTCAGCTCCCATGTGAGGCAGTTCACAACTGCCCCACACATGCCCAACACATGTATGATACATACTTCCTCCAACATGCTTACGTGTTAAATAAAAAGATGAATCTTTTTAAGTTATAAGCATGGTTATCTTTCTAGAATGTTATAATTCAATGAATTAATATCAAGTCCTTTGTAGTATGCTTCAAGTATCTTACTATGTTATCAAGAAAGAGTTTGGGGACCAAGCAGTGGTGGCGCACGCCTTTAATCCCAGCACTCAGGAGGCAGAGCCAGGCAGATCTCTGAGTTGGGGACCAGCCTGGTCTACAGAGTGAGTTCTAGGACATATTCCAAAGCTACACAGAGAAACCCTGTCTCAAAAAACAAAACAAAAGAGTTTGGAGAGGATTCAGTGGTTAAGAGAATTTGCTGCTCTTACAGAAGACCTGGGCTTGGGTCCCAGGACCCATGTAACTCGGGCTTACAATTGCCTCTGACTCCAGTTCCAATGACCTCTTCTAGCTTCTGTGGGCATCTGCTCACACAGACACAGACACACACGCAATAAGTGAATGAATTTTTGGTTTTTCGAGGCAGGGTTTCTCTGTGTAGCTTTGCACCTTTCCTGGAACTCGCTTTGGAGACCAGGCTGGCCTCAAACTCACAGAGATCCACCTGCCTCTGCCTCCCGAGTGCTGGGATTAAAGGCGTGCGCCACCATCGCCCGGCGTGTGAATGAA